GTGGTATGGCGGTAGATGGGTCTTGATTTGTATGGCTGGTTAATGGTCCTGTTAATCCCACCTGCTTGTGTGCATCAGGTTTTAACTTTGTGATGTCTCCTTCAGATTTTCTATTCTTTCCTCCATCACCCACACTAGAACTCATAAAACATAAGATGATGTTTATGAATGAAAACATCTCATCTACCACCCACTTAACTATAAATTTTTATTAATATTCAGTCACTGTTGTACAGCTCAATAAAAACCTCAAAATTGAAATCTGTCCTCAAAAGGAAACTATCTTCTTCTTGCAGCTCCCTGCTTCAGCACTCCCCCTGGGATTGACCAAATTACGTCAGAAAATGTCAAATCTATGTATTTGAGTTATCACTGTTTGGGTTGTCTGGAAAAAGCAAGAAAATTCAAAAGAATGCTGTTGAGATTTATGTACATCTTTGCCAAGTAGTAGATCCTTTGGGATCAGAAATGTGTACATTTAAAATCCAAAGACCTTATGATTAAAAATTTAATGCTGTTCTTTGGTTGTTTCTCTATATTCTCCAGGCTTTGCCTTTCCACCTCTACCCCCCTCCCCCACTTTTCCTGATGGTGGCCTGGGGTTAGAAACTGCTGAGTGTGGATTCCACTTTCAGGAAGGAAGTTGTTTTTTGTCCTTCATCTGCTAGAGAATTACTGGGGCCTAAGTAGGTAATCTGTAGACAGAAGCAGAAGTACCACCAAGGTAGAAGGAACTTTAGCACATGCAGCATAGACATTACAAAGAGCAGATGCTTAATAATGATCAGCTATCCTTGCAGTTTTTCCTTTGAATTTCCCTTTTCCTTATTAGTGGGTATAACCATTTTATTTTTATACTTGCATTTTGCCTAAGACAGTCTATTTTTAAAACTTCCACAAAAGTTCTTGTGGCAGAGAAGATAGACTGATTTCTATGAGTAAAGTTGCAGGATACCCAGATGCTGTCATGGAGAATAGTATTTCTTTTTTGTGTATGGCGTGGCAGGAGATTCTTTGTGAAGTTGAATTAACTGCCTTGTGTAGTGTGATATAGGAGTTCAGACCTAATTTTATCTAGTGAGTAGATATTGTTAAATGTACTGCACATGGGTACTCCTGTCTCTTTTGATCTTACTTATTGTGATTGTGTCATGCGATACATACAAGAAATTTCAGGTGATTTCTCAACTTTGGTTTCTTTGAAGAAATAGTAAATTGACACGAACGGTTAGAAAAAGAAAATACAAATTGAGTTTCATGCATGCTGAGGACCATAACACATGCAAACTTGGAAATGATCAGAACAGCCAACTAATGTAGTGTTTAGACAAAAAAGCAATGTATTTGTGTTGAACAAACAGAGTGTAACTCTTGAGAGTTTTGGTTTCAGGATGGCTTTTTTTAGTGAGCCAAGTAGAGCTTGTTTACACAGCTTCTGGTCCCTATCTGAAGAAAAGGTTATCTCTCCATCTCTGTGCCATGGGTATATTTCACATAGAGATATAGTCATTGCTTTCAGAGGGAACAGAGAAGAAGAGGGTCAGAGAAAATTCCTGTTTTTAGGAGAAAAGAAAGTTTTTAAGATAAGTTGCATTCCTTGACTGTTTATTCAAAGTACTCAATATGCTGCTTCCCCATGTCTTGGGGCATCTGGATTTGGACCTCACACAGAAAAGCTTCCTTTATCAGCCTTTTTTAAAACCATTTGTTTACTTTTATCTGATACAGCTTATAAATTCAAATGACAGGAAATTTTTTGAAAATTAGAATGGCAGTGATTCTTCTGTGGGAAATCTCTTTTCTTACCAGTTTTTAATTTTTTTTCTAAGATTTATTTATTTATGCAGACAACTTGGGTACAGGCTGCACTTTAATCTGCTGTACCAACGGAGGGGGGGATTTCATTATTTTTAAAGATTTATTTATTCATGTATACAAGAGCTGGGTTGTAGGCCAGAGGTGGGGGAGATCAGAGGGTTCACCAAAGACAGAGGGGAGCAGACAAGACAGATGTACTGAAATACACTGTTGAGGGGAGCAGCGGGCCAGACAGGAGAGGTCTGCTGTGCAATGCGGGTCAGGTCCTTGGCTGGGATGGAATTCATGCCGCAGTGACTGCTGGTAGTTTCATAGTGCTGAGACTTAACTGCTGGTGCCAACAAGGAGGCCTCGATCAAATTTTTACCTTAATGTTTTATTTCAGAATAATTAAACTTATTTTACATAATAATTTTGAAGCTAGTGAGGGTGTTTGCCTATATCTCGCACATATTATCCTCTATTATCAACATCTCTCTACTATGGTACATGTTCTGCTGTTGATGAACAAATATTGGTAAATTACTATTAGCTGAAGTTCATACGTAATGGATAGTCCTCAGTCTTTTCTGTTATGCCCTTTTACTATTCCAGGATCTTATCCTAGATAAGTACTTATCCAGAATAGTACATTACATTTCCTAAGGCTCTTGGTTGTGACAAGACTCAGTTTCTCAGGCTTTATTTTTGATGACCTTAGCAGTTTGAGGATTACTAGTCAGGTATTTTGTAGAAGTCCTCCACTGAAACTTTAAGATAGGATTTATAATTTATATACTGTAAAATTTATGTTTTAAAGATGGTAATTCAGTGTTTAGTACACTCAAACTGTGTTTTGCAACCATTCCAACATCTGCTTCTAGAATAACTCATAGTCTTGCAAGGAACTATGGATATCAATTATGCAAGAACTATAGCATACTACTCCCCTATTTGACCCTCTTTGTCTCCTAACCATCACTAATCAATTTTCTGTCTCTATGCATTAATATATTTTGGACATTTAATGTAAATAAAATATTAAAATATATGGGCTTTATATTTTGAATTCTTTCGCTTAGAGTGATATCATGCATCATGATTATTCCATTCCTTCTTATAGCTAAATGATATATTGCATTGTACAGCTGTCCCATCAACACCATAGTTTATCCATTTATCAACTGTAGACATTTGGGCTGGTTCTACTTTTTGAACATTATGCATATAGCTACGAGATTTCATCTATTAAGTGTTTGCAGAAACGTATGTTTTCATCCTTTGGGTCATATACTTGGGAAGAGAATTTTGAGACATGAGGTAACTATATTTTTAAAATTATAGGTACTCCCCAACTTTTTTCCAAGCTGGCTGTTTCATTTTACATTCCTATTAGCAATAACATTCCAATATGTATTCTAATTTCTCCATATCCTCCATAACACTTGCTACTGTCTTTTTGGTTATAGACATCCTGGTGAGTGTGAAGTGGCATCACAATGAGTTATTCATTTGCACTTTCCTAATGACTAATGATGTTGAGTAACTTGTTCACATGCTGATTGACTGGTTGTTTATCACTTTTAGAGAACTGTCTCTAAATCTTTTCACTGCTTTTAAATTGTTTCTTCTTGCTGAGTTGTAGGACTTTCTCACACTTCCTTTATCTGCTACATGTTTCTTTTTAAAATATTTTCTGCCATTCTGCTGGTTATCTTTTCATTTGCTGAACAATGTTCTTTGAAGCAAAACTTTCATGTAATGATGAAGTCCAATGTATCTATTTTTTCCTTTGTTGCTTATGCATTAAGTGTCATATCTGTCTTCATAATTTCTAGCTTCTCTCTTTAACAATTCTGAGCACACTCCTCAAAATTTCCTGTCCTTGAAATGTTCCTAGTGTTAAAATGTCAACTTTGTGTCAGGCTCAGAATCAAATTTCTCTGTGTAGGGGATAACTTCAGATAGTCATTATGCCACATGGCTTCTTTGGGGATGCATGTTCTGAAGCACACACGAAGATATGAAAAAGAACTATTAGAAATGACAATTTTTGGAGATCAAAATTGTTACATACTAACAATTTTATATGGTTCAAGATGATATTCTGTTGTGTGAGTCAAACATTACTATACTTTATTGCTGCTTATTTATATTTTAGTTTATACAGTTTATATAGCTTCCATGAGGCACATAGCTTTCAAAATTTTGTTAAGATAGAAGTTTACATTGATGTTTTCTCATATTGGACTCGAACCACTGCAAACAGAACTCCACTTACAGGATGTAGGACCTTTTGCAAGTTAGTCACCACTATTCTTCCCCCACCTTCGGTTCTTTGATATGGACAATTGAGAAAGGGCAAAGTTATGTAAAACACTATGCAGATAGATACAGGATTATTTCCTTAGCTTTCCCTTTTTGGTATTGTCTTTTTCCGCATTCCACATATGTAGAAATTTGGGTGTTACCAAAGTGTTCCTCCAATTAACCACCTAGACTGGTTATTATTAGGAAATTATTTTGTTCTTGAAAGTGCTACTTCCCCTGCACTTACTGATTATTGGTAGAAATTTAAATGTATTCAAATCTTTTATTCTTTAATAGAGGAATCTGAGTTAATTTTTGTTTTACAAGAAATAAATAGCCAACTTTCCCAGCTTAATCACCTATCCACTTTGTATTAGAGAATTCATTATGGTTGTTTTGATAGAACTTTCAAAATTTACAAAATTTTGTAGTAAGTAGAAAAGGGAAACTATCACACTAGATATGAACAACGTACGTACCGTCTTCGGATTACCTATTACTTTTAGACAGTGCTTGAAGCACCTGTTTTTGCATTGACTGTGATTTTCTATCATTTTTTTAAAGCTTTCCAGTTATACTTCCTGATGTAGCATACTGGAAGCCATGAGCGCAACTGTAAATCAGTATTGTTTGGCCAGTGGTTCCTGTAAAGCGTGGAACCAAGAATAATTTCCTGAATATTTTTCACATACCTAAAATAGGTATTAACCCCGGGTTGGAGGTGGCCTTGGAGTGACCCTCTCAACTACCCCCATAGCCTTGGGCATTGAGACCCTTCAGGCCGGGAGGGCGCGGGCACCCCTGCACTGCGGCAGGAATCAGCACTGCGGCAAACTGACGCGCATGCGCGGCAGGCCGGCCGGGTGGGTTGGTGCGCATGCGCAGGCGGCACTGCGTGTGCTTAGTTGGCGCTGCCGCGGCGATTGCGGCGCAGATCCGCGTGTCCACGGGAGATGCCTGACGTGCTCTTCTGAGGATCGGCCAGCGACGCGATGGAGCGGGCCAGGTCAGCTCGTGGGGTGCCTCTGAGGCAGCGGGGGGACGGCTGTTTTTGTGGGCCTCTTAATCCGGGTTTTAGAATCTGGAGGAGCGGTGTGAATGGGACACGGGCCGCAAGTTCTTTGTCCTCAGGGCCCGCTGGACACCTGGACGAGGGCTCGGCGATCCTGCCGTGGGCTCTTGTTGCCGTGGTGTGGTGCCTTTGTGCGGCGCATCAGGCTGCCGCGTCCGGTCTGCGCTCTCCGGGCGGCCTTTGTCCTTGAGCCCTGAGACCGTGACCGTGGGCCGTCGGGCTGCCTTGGGAGGCTGTGGGAGGCAGCCGGAGGGTGCCGTGGGTTGGGGCGGTGGGCGTGCGCCGTGCGGGTGGGACGGACGGGGCAGGGCGCAGGGCGCGGCGCAGCGATGCAGGGGGTAGCTTGTTCACGGGGTGGTGGCGGTGAGCCGCGACCACGGTGTCTTGAGGATCGCAGGCTGGCGGCCATGGCGGTGTTATGGCGGTGGTGTGGTGGTGGTATGGCGGTGGTGTGGCGGTGGTGTAGAGGTGGTCGGGTAGCTAGCTCGTGACTACCGGGCTGGTGTGCGATCCGACATTGGGGTGAACCTGTGGCGCCGAAATGATGGTTTGCACGGAGCGGCGGGGTGGCCGCCATGGCGGTGCTAGGGTGGGGGCGGTGACAGGGTGGGGGAGGGGTGGGTGACTGCGGTGGCAGTGATTGGAGGGGGCGGTGGGGTGACCGTCCATGTGGCGAGAAGGAGGGGTGGTGGGTGATCACCTTGGCATCGCCAGGGAGGGGCGGAGTGGCCATGGTGACGATGGGGGCGGGGTGCTGGGGTGACCGCTTTGGCGCTGGTAGGGAGGGGCGGTGGGAAGGCCACCCTAGTGGGGTGGTAGGGAGGAGGTGGGTAACTACTTTGGTGTGACTGGACTGAGCAGCGGGAAGACCATCATTGTGGTAGGGAGGGGTGATGATGATCATGGCAAAGACTGGAGGGAAGGGTGGGGGATGACCCCCATGATGGGGGTGGTACGGAGAGGGGTGGATGGCCGCAGTGGCGGTGGTGGAGGGGGCTATGGGATGACCGCATTGGCATGAAGAAGTACACCTTAGTGGTGGCGGTAAAGAGGGACGATGGGGTGATCGTCTTCATGATGGTGGTGGGACGGAGGTTACAGCGAGGAAACGTGGGGTGATCGTCATGGTGATTGTTGGGAGGAGTGGGGTTACCATCCAGGTGCTGGTGAGGAACGATGGCGTGAAGACGACATCTTTAATGGCTGAAAGTGGAGTGGCGAGGTGAGCACCATGGTGGTGGACAGCAAAAAGACCACCAGAATAGTGGTCTTGGTGAATATGGTGACCGACAAGGTGGTGGCAGCCAGGGCCACTAGGGGACAAAGACTAGAGGGACAATGGGGTCCACGTTGGTGAGATTTAGGGCAGTGGGGAGTGGCCATCTTGCTGGTGAGTGGGCAGGCAAGGGAGCAGGGAGAGGGGTGACGGTGGCGGCAGGGTGTGTTAGATGGCCGGCAGATGGTGTGAGATAGTGATAGTATGTGGGCCACACGCGTGATTTGAATGAGTGGAGAGAACTTTTAATTTTCTGCAACCTGTGGTGGAGTCTTTGAGTTTGTGTATTGAGGTGAGCCCGCGCAAGGATGACTTTAGGAATGTTTGTGTCCTTGTATATTTCATTCCTTATTTTTTTTTTGTAATTCTTGCCTTGGGATTGGGATTTGGTACGCAGAGCTTGCTTTATGCATACCGCGCGAGAGTCCTAAATCGTTCTGGAATGTGACATTGGGGGCACCTCTTGTTTGCATTGTTCTTCTCTGCAGTCAAAATAAAATTTTCAAAGGTGATTTTAGGAGCACATGGGGGTCCTATGCTGCAGTACGGTCATTGTGCGACTCCCCAAAGATGGCTGCCACTGCAGATGTGTGACTGCGCTTGCGCAACAGGGTGGGGGGCTACCGCCCCCTTCCCCCAGTGCCGCAGTGGCGTGGGGGGGAGCAGCCTTCCTTGCATCCTTGGTGGGTATCAGCTCCACCCTCGCCGGGTAAGGCGAGGAGGCGTTGCTGAGTGGGCAGGCCCTCCCCCACTAGTGCAGCAAGTGGGGAAGGACGCAGCAGGGATGACATCACATCTGCCAAGTGGTGGGGTGGTCAGTGGGGGGAAGGGGTTTTCACAGCTTCTGCCCGGCGGGCCTGGCATCCACTCCATTCACCTGTCCCTTCCTCCACTACTGTTCTGCAGTGGGGGTAGGGAGGAGGAAGGACAGGGTTGGCCAGTCTCTTCCTTGGGGCTGCCCCCTCCCCATAGTGCCGCAGTGGGAGGGGGAGGAAAGGAGAGGGGTTTTGTCCATTGTACCACCACTGCCTGAAATGGCAGCTTGGGATCTTGTTCTGTAGACGGGAGCAATGGAGGCCAGGAGCCAAGACAGATGCAGCCACTTCTGGATTATTCGTGCTACTTTATGGCAACGTTTTGAATCTGTTTTCTAGTCTTTAGAAATGTGTGAATTGTCATTTTTTATATTTTCCCTATATTGTACTTTGTATCCTACCCTCCCCCATATTCATAGTAGATTTAATACATATTTAGATAATAAAGATAATTTAAAAATAGCTTTAATTACAACTATATATTTGGTCATTCTAAAACTGCTTCCTCTACAGTATACTCAGCACTCTTTTATTTCTGGATATTATATTTCTAATGCTGATTTTTAGATAGAGATTTTTTTTTTCTTAAACCAGGATAAGAGCGTCTAGGAATTTGAGCTGTAAGTTGTGTTTTCAAAAGGAGAATAGGATAGAATCAGAAAAGTGGAGAATATTGCAAGGTTAGGAGGTAAGCATATTGTCAGGGAATTTTTGCTTTTAGTAAGATCTTTAAATTAATGCTTGCGAAATGATCTGTTGAAATAGAAACCAATATGAAAATTAAAGTGAGAAAGGATAATGAACATAGTAACTTGCTATATTCTAGGACTTTGATTGCGAGTGTTTATAAGGATTTTTCTTTGTATTCAGTATTTTGACAGGATTGCAATTATTTTACAACCTACCACAATGAATATATTTTAAGTTGGAATTTAAGAGAAATTGTAAATTCTGGAAGCATGAAAAACTTTGTTCTGGCATTTTCTTTTCAGAGAGTTTAAACATTAGCAGGTGTCTGCAGTTTTGTAGTAAGTAAGACTTCTGTGTTTGACCTGTTTTTATAAATATATTGTTTCAAGTATTTATATTTTGGTTTAGCTTCTGATAATTTGACTTGTATTTGTATTAGCCTGGTCCGCCATTTTGTGATCTTTCACTTACCTTAGATCTCAACATGGCGGATGGACGACGCCTATGGGCCGCTCTTATGTTTGGAACCTGGAATGTGAGGACTTCCTACCCAGTGAATATTTATCTTAAAATCAGGATTTTTAAAAACTGAGCAGTATGTGTAAACTGGTTTAGAGCAAAGTAGAAGGGCTGTTTTGTTGTTTAAGACAAGGTACTACTATGTGATCAGTCTATAAAAAGTTTATTGTATTTTCTTGGCTTCCCTAGTCTATCAGTCTGCCATTTTCTTGCTGGAATAGTTCCTTCATGTATGGTTACTCAACATCTGGATTTTCTTAATTTTCTTCTCTCTTAATTATGTGCTGAGATTTGTTTATGAAAAATATAACATTTAAGATGTCGAGGTCTCTAAATTATCCTTATTTGGACCTGCAACTTCAGCATAGTCATTTTTAAGGAAAAATCCTCGAGGTATTGCTGCCTCAGTATATGATGTGAATTTTTAAAATCTCTTTCTAACATGCATATTAGGACTTTCTAACTGGTTATGTATGTGCCCTGTTATTGTGACCCTGGGGGTTTTCAAGTTGTTAGTTAAGATGCCTTTTCCTTAATGGCAGGGTTGAATTTTAATGTTGTCTTTGGTTCCTGAATACTGGCTGGCACAGAATTTTCTTTTTGATTCCACAGGTTTTGCCAGGGAGGCACTAATTTTCCTATGTGTGGGAGGATCTACAGACAAGAATCATTTCACATTATCTTTTTTATTTTTTGTTCCTGAGATAGTAACACGAACTTATGTTTTTTGGAGTGAATTATAAGTAATAACTTGAGTCGCAGAAAATTAGACAATAGGAAAAAATTGTGAGGTCTCATTGCTGCGCATTTAAATGTATGTCCAGATAAATTTTTATTAATGAAAGTGTTTAGGAGCAAAACAAATCAATACCATACGGGGAATAGTGTTTTTTCCCTTAATTGTTTAATTTTTTTTAAATGTTGCTTTCTTGGTTGACAATAAAGTTTGGAAGATTTTAAATGCACGTTTGTTTTATGTATATTTAGAATTATAAGTAGAAACTTAAGTACTTAGAAACCATCAACTTGTAAAAGAGGTTGCATACAACTTAAAAATGGGTAAGAATTGAGCAGAATTTCTCCTATCTGAACTCAGGAACATTTTAATACTGAGCAACTGATTATGAGGTAAAGGAACTGAAGATTTTTTTTTTTTACTTTGGTATTCGATTGTTTTCAATTATATTATTGAATTAAATTAATATGACATACTGAGGTTCGTAGAAGTCTAATTGTGTTATTATACATAATAAATTATGTCCTTGTGAAACTGCCACTCTGTACCTTGTTTTTGAGAAAATCAGTACTTCATTCCTATAAAACTTAACTGATATTTAAATATATGGATATGTGCAATATATATATTTTTAATACATAATTTGGTACATAGAGCTGTTTTTCCACATTTTTGCAGTTAATATTAATGGTGCTAGGAACATTCATGCATAATTTTTGTGCTTTCATTTTGTTCCACTTTGGAGTAGAATTTCTGGATCAAATGTTAATTATCAGTATATAATTGTGCTTTAGAAAGTGCCAGAAGCTACACCATTTACATTCCGGATAGTAGTTTAACCATAGCCTTCCTCTTTCCTGGGTATGAAGTGATATCTATGGTTTTGATTTGCATTCCCCTAATAATTATAATGCTATTGGGCATCTCTTTGTACTGATTGGAAATTTGTATAATGTTTAAGTTCTTTACCCATTTTTAAACTGGGTTTTAGTATCTTAGTTTTGAATCCTTACTGGTTGTTTACACATTCTGGATACTAGACTTAGATTAGCTATGATTAGCAAGTTTTTTTTTTTCCTTCATTTAGCTGATTGAATACTTTGTTTTAGATGTATAATTTACGGATTCCTTTTTCAGATATAGTAAGTGTTGTGGAGTCTTAATCACTATACATTTTAATGTATGTCCAGGTTATTTTTTAGTAATGAAAGATTTTGAAGCACAAAAAATTAACACTCTCCAGGTGACATTTTCTACTTCAATGCCTAGTCAAAGATAAAGATGATTAGCAAATAACGTATTTTTATCATTTAAAGTTTAATGATTACATATAGAATTTTAAGAAGTGTTAACTATTGCTTGTTTAGAACTTTAAAGGATTTGAAGTAATAACTTGGTTACTGGTAAGCTATTTGGGTTAATTTGCATAATCAATTACAAATCTTTTAAATGACTAGCTCAGGTTATTCACTTTGGGGTTGTATCCTTCATATTTTGCCTTTAAGGTATTAAGTTACATACGTTTTGTAAAATGTTTTTCCTTCTGTCCTGTTTGATTTAGCTAGTTTAGACTTTGCGTTATGAGTGGCTCCTGTCATTTCTAACATGGCCACCCATTTACAGCTGCCTTGTGCAGCCATTTTGTGAACTGTTCTGCAGATCATAATGTGGTGGTGTCATGTTGCTTTTTGTTTTTCATTTATTTTTTTACTTAGACACCTTTTTGTTTATTTTGCAAACTCTAAAACACCTTCATAAGAAGTTGCTTAAGTGGATACTTTGTAATTTTTAAATTAAATATTTCCTTCCATTATACAAAAATAATAGTTTTCAAATAATTGGAAATAATCTGTTTTTTTTTCACTGCACATAAATGTAGATAGTATATCAGTGTATGTGTGTATACATTTATATATAACCTGTAATTTTAAATGTAAAGTTGTGACTATTAGAAATCAGTTTACAGTTTTATTTTTTCATCTTCAGGTATTTTCTCATCTGATGTTAAGGGATTGTAAATGAAGAAAGTTGGTTTTTATTTAGTTTCAGAGTAGATTGTATAGCAGAATAAAATCTAGCGTTGGAGTTTTGCCTTGTTTTTGGTAACATTACTAACACTTAACTTATTCTTAAAAAATGATTAATAGGTTTTAAAATATATTTTATAGAATCATATATTTTTAAAGGCCAGTTTTATTAGGAAAAGGAGAAGGAAAAATAGGGAACCAAATTGTCATAGGTGCAGCAGAGCTGACTCATTTATAAAATCTTATCAAACAAATCCCTCTTACTGTTTAGGGACCGCTTACACCTGAGACGGACAACGGAGCAGCACGTACCAGAGGTGGAAGTCCAAGTCAAGCGCAGAAGGACAGCCTCTCTGAGCAGCCAAGAGTGAGTACAGTCTGTGCCAAAGAGTTCAGATTAGAGTCCTTTTACAAATTGGAACGAAGTGTTACGCAATTTCATCTTTGCAAGTGAGGTTAACTAAATTATCAGGCGCACGTAATACAGAAGATAAGGCAATGTATCAGTTAATCCTAAATTAACTCAGCCTGTTAAAATGTTAGAAAAACACACTTCCTTATTTTTTTTAATACAGGTGGGCATTATCTTTAAAATCGTACGTCCTACAATATAATTTAAATTATTTCCTCTTTATTGAGTTGCTAAATCCCATTCCATGCTTGCAAAATATTCTGTGTATTGAAGGGATGTCATTTTAAAAATTCACAGTTGTTCAAGTATGCTTTGCTTTGGATGGCACATTTATCCAATTAAAAACATTAGTTTTTCCTTTCTTTGTAGGACACGCACACATATTAGTTCAGGTTTCCAGAAGGGCTGTTTACATTTTAAAAAATAAGCCTTTTTTAATGACTAAAACATTGTATCTTTTGCATTTTGTATGACCACTTTTCTTTCCTTAAAGCTGTTGTTTTTCAAAATTATACGTATTAATATTCTTAACAATAATATACTGTTTAAATGCATAATTTCGAAAAAAATAATTAAATATCTATTGCAGAACACCATTTTTTTTCCTTCCCTCCCTAGACAGTATCCTCAGATACTTTGATCTCTGTCCTTTCAGAGGCTCATGGGGGCAGCTGGGGGAGGCACATGTCTGGATTTGTTTTCTTATATGGGATTTACTGTTCTGTAACTGTATGCCTTGGGGATCTTTTCGCATCAGCAGATAAAAGTCTGTCTTTTACAAATTGCAGAATATGTGGTATAAAAGTTATATTTATCATTTCCATACTGAAGAATACATGGGTTTGCCTCATTTAAGCAATGAAGATAAGCTTTAGTTAATCTGATAATTAATACAAGCTCTTAATACTATTTGCGTTTTATTTCACTCCAAAGCTAAGCGTTAGAAATTCTGTTTAAAATGTAGGTAGCATTTTTGTGTCTTATTTTGGTTATATCTGAAAAATTAATAGTATTATTTATTTGCTGATCTGAATTACTGATGAGGATATAAAGGTTTCCCCATTTTGCGGCTGACTATTTTTCTCTACTGAGACATTTTTTCCTTTTTTGCACTTTAATTTTGGACATTGCCTTGGAAAGCAATATTTTATTAATGAGTATTAGTTTGTATTTTATAATAGACTTTTTGTTGTTTTTGTACTTGTGGTAATGTGTTTATTTTTTTCTTTTGTAACTTCCAAGTTTTAAAAAATGCCATTTTCCCTCTAGCATCTCTGCAAATAACATTTGCTACTTTAGATATTGTGGTGTAGATACAGGTGGGGAGGGGGATTTCTGGGTAGGAAGATCTTTTATTAGTCAGTGAATGCCCTTATGGCTTATTATTTTGTTAGAACTGCATAATGTGGACCAAAATAATGGATGATATCATATTCATCTTGCTTTATTTTGTATACAAATTTTACTTGTCCATCTCTATATTCTTGCTTTTAAAGAATAAGTAGCTTCATTTTCCTGAACGGCTATATAAATTACTTATAAATATTAGAGGGTTTTGAATAGGGGAAAGGAGAGTTGAATAAAAGAAGTAATAGTGTAACTTTACAGGCAACTCTGTGATCAGAATGAATGTATTATAGGAATGTATAAGGAATACTGAAACATTTTAAAGCTATGCCTAATGACACAAAAACTGGATTCTCCCAGCATTAGGGCACTTAATAACTATGAGTGCTCGTTTTAATAATAACTGATCAAATTTCTATTGTTTTCCCAAACCAAAAATTATATGTTAATATTCCTAGATGATTTGTGTGTACGAGTCTGAGCAAATAAAGGATTGTTATTATCTCATCCAGAATTTACAAGTAAAGTTAAATAAAAAAGGAAAAAGAAACAAAATACAAATAAAACATTCCCCAAGCTAAAAATAAGTAGTGGGCATATTTCATTGATTTATACTTCTGGGACTGATAGTTATTCTATCAATCACCAACTTAACTCTTGCTGTTTGGAACTAGAGAATGTATTTTCCCTGATTCTTAATGTTTTCTGAGTTTTAGAAAAATTGGAGACTGGGTTTGAAAGCTATCTACTCTGTACTCCTTAAAATGACTTTTTCCAGATTTATATTCTGTACTTTATCAATTAAATGCCATATGTCTGCATACCCTCAGCCTTTAGTCTACAGGTGGATTTCAGTTTAGCCAGAGGCATACTGCAAGATGAGATTCAGAAATATATATATATATATATATATGTGCTCATTGTGAATTACTGATGAGGTTAAAGAATTCCTCATTTATCCTTGTTTACTATTCAATTCTGAGTGTTTTATGAGTGAATATTTGATTTGTCTCTTGCAAGAGGCGATTTGCTATTTTAATTCATGTGGTAATTTCTTTTTTTTTTAAGACCTGTTTTTTTGGTTAAAACTTTTCTTAAAATCTTGCTGGGTCTACTCAGCAACCAAAAAAGAGAAACACATGTCTTTTGCAGCAACTTGGATGGAGCTGGAAAAGATCATGCTTAGTGAGATAAGCCAGAAAGAGAAAGAAAAATACCGGATGGTTTCACTCATAGCAGGAGTATAATGGACCAGGCGAGAAAATAACAAAAATAATGAACAACCATATACCAGAGACATTTTGTGGGGGTGGAGTGGGAATGGGATCAAAAACGGGGTGGAGAGAAAAGTGCACGGGATTATGGTGATGGCACATGGGTGATTTGGTGATGGGAAACCCGCGGGGATAACAATCGAGATGGAAAAAAAATGTACAAAATGATGTAAAAATAAACTTTTGTAATAAAAAAAAATCTTGCTGGGTCAAGGAAAAGTACTGGATGGTTTCACTTGTAGCAGGAATACTAAGAGCCAGGGGAGAAAATAATAATAATAATGAACAACTATATAGCAGACATTTTACAGGGTGGAATGGGAAATGGGATCAAAAACAATAGAGGGAGGGAAGTGCATCTGACTATATGATGATGGCACACAGGTGATTTGGTGATGAGAAGCCCATGGGGATTACAACTGAGATGGAAGAAGGCACAAAATGATGTGAAAATAAAGAATTATATGTGTGTGTGTGTATTATATATTTTATATATATATAAAATAAAAAATATTTAAAATTTTTTGCTGGGTCAGAGAACTTAACTGGTAACAACAACAAAAAACTTGAAACTAAGAATGACCAAATAAAGATTTCATCATTCATTGATAGATCAGGAAAATACAAGTAATGAGAAATGCCATTACTCCAACTCTTACCTTACTACCTGGAGATAGTTCAGATTTGACATGTTAAGGACTCCACAAGAGTAATCTTCACAAACATTCCATTGATGCCAGGGCATCTGCAATTTTTTCTCCCTAATTGGCTATAGATGGATTACTCCCTTAATAAGACATACAGAATGCAAAAAATACCTAATATTAAAGGATGAAATAAAATATCCATAGAGCTTTGGAACTTGGAAATAGGAAATAAGTCATAGTTTGAACAAGCATGCTACATAACTATATAATCTTAACTAAAAAAATGGAAGTTTGCTTATTTAAATATATACATAGGACCTGGAAGGAATTGCAAACTAAAGTGCTTATGATTATGGAGAATTTGGATTATGGATTATCCTTTGTTTTTTGTTTCTTGGCTTTTTCAGTTTTCTGCTGTCTACATGTTAACATTTTAAAAAGTTATTTTAAAAGTCTTAAAGACTTTTTACCAATTTACTAATTTAAACACTTCTTACTAATAAAAGATAAGATTAAGATAAACTAAATAGAGACTCATAGGGTAAAATCTGGAGCACCTATGTCTTCAAAATATGATACCCTCTCAGCACAGTAATGTTTATTGTCAGATAGGAAACTCATCAGCACATTGATGCTATGATTTTTATTGGGGTCTTCTTGGCCACTTGATCAACTTTAGTCTTAATTAGCTTCCAGCTCCTATCCTTTCCAAGGTTAGCCTCAGTTCCCCAGGCCTCTAATGACATGGCTTGTCTTTACCCTGTTACATGATTTCTCTATCATTAACATTGATGTAACCCTCAGGCCCACCACAGTAACGACACACACCTGTCAGATGGGAAATGGAAGGAACCATGGACAAAATCCAGCTTAATTATTTTATAACAGCATGTTAAAATGTTTAAAGATTACTGTACAAAGTCAAAATATTTTTTTAAGGATTTATTTATTTGTGCATACAGAACTGGAATACAGGCCAGAGGCTCAGGGGCAGTGAGAGGCTTCACCAGAAACAGAGTGGGTAACAGAACAGACAAATTGACAAAGTACACTGCTGAGGGGAGCAGAGGGTAGGTCAGGAGAGGTCTGCCACGCCATGTGGTCACCTCTGGGGCAGACGGGAATCGAACTCATGTGCAAGTGGCTTTAGATTCTCAGTGCTGTGCTTTAACCTGCTGCGCCACCAGGGACGGCCCAAAGTGAAAATATTTTTATCAAGGTCCCTATTCAAAATCTAACTGCTGTTGAATATTTGTGTGTGTGTGTTTGAGTATTATTTATCATCAGAGAATTGCTGATTTTTGTTTGTTTTGTTTAGTCAGCAAACTGCAGTTTTTCTCTTCCTTATCCCTGTCTCCAGATTCACAGCCAGATAAGGCGTATGATGAGTGTGATGTGATTTGTTGCTCTCTAATAAATGAATAGTTCACATAGTTTGAAAGCCTAAGTAGCCTGTGTCCTGTAAGTACTTTACTTTCTTTTAGGGCCTGGTTTCTTAGGAGGTTGGCATGGATGACTACCTTAATGGCTGACTTGAAAAGACTTTGCAGACATTCCCATGTCCCTTTCAGGGTTACAGGATTGTTTCCAAATATTGAATAGTATGATTTAAAGAGGGAGTGAATGTATGTTACTAACGAGTTTTCCAAAGGCATTTTAATAATAAACCAACGAGCCATTTTTTTACCAGTTTCTTGTTCAAATCACCAAAGTTGGTAAGTATCAATTTATATACAGGCTCCTATTTACTGTCTTGTAGTTGTTCATAAATTAATTGTATGCACTGACTCTAAATGAAAATTTCTTCAAATATAAGAGGTGACCTCTGTGTTTTTCATATTGTTATCTATATAGGCAAATGTATTTTCATTTGTATGTGTTGTGCTCTTGACATAGGTGTCAGCTGTACCCAAGGCGATCTCAGCTGCAGCAAGTACCTGTGGTGGATTTCCAGGCGGAACTGAGACAGGCATTCTTAGCTGAGACGCCCAGAGGTGGTTAAAGCAGTATTGGAACATCAAGGTAGCTGATTCCAGGCAAAAAAACAAACAAAAAAGGTTAGAGCTGATGTAGGCATGATCAGGAATAAAAAATAAGTGTTTGGAGATCACGTAATTATTTGGAGCATGTTAAAACAATATTTTCCCTCAAATCTTCTGAAATAAGCATATGGCAAGAAGTTTAAAAAAATAAAATTAGACTGCAATATTCTTGTCTTGATGCTTGTTTCTGTATTTCCCAATCATCATAGTATATATACTTTTTAGGGAGTTTTATTTAGTTTATTTTGTATCAGTTTTCAACTAAACATAATAATATAAATAATTTAAATACAAATACTAACAATAATAAAAAGTACTATATAAATGGCTGCTCCATATCTGCCTTGAATATTTTATAATTCCTGTAAAAGACTTAATTTTTTCTGTAGGTGATTTCGATTAAAACAACAGTGAGCAGCTTTGCATGAAACATTAGAAAGGATAAAATCCTCAAACATGCCAATGTAAAAATAAACAGAACCAAGTTATATGAACTTACTTAAATTTTTCTAAGTTTATTACAAAGTAATTTGTCTAATGCCTTCAAAATCAATGGAGTACTATTAGCAATATACATCCATCACTATTGGTTATTTTAGTGACATGTCATTTATCTACTGAATTCCAAATATACATCACATTCATTATTAATTGGGAAGTTAAATATTTTCCCATGCTTATTTACTAATTATTCCTTTTTGTTTTGTTTTTTCTCACTTTTGTGTTTTTACCAGGATATTTGAATCATCTGACAATGTAATAAATATATTATCCACAATTTTTCAATGTGATGCAGATTTATTTATAGTCTGTCTTTATATTGGTGCTTAACACTTTTAGAAAAATGCTATTCAGAAGTTGATTTTTATTTACCTTGTTTTGTGAATTCTTTGAGGTTTAATTGGCATACAACATGTTAGCTTCATAATGATTGGATATTTGTATGTATTTCATAATCACATGACACTACATATAGTAGCACTTTTTTGTTATGAAACTTTAGATTTGCATTGGAATTCATTTTTAAATCCATCTAATTTTTTTAAGGATTCTCCCTGAATACTTTGAGTAAATCATTGCTTTTAAATAAGTTTCATTAAAAAATGATATTCTTGTATGCCATTAAACAATTGGAAGTTGTAAAAGTTAAAGGTGTACTCTCCTAGCAACCTACAGACCTTCAGTGCAGCATTAACTATAGTTGCTTTGCTCTGTGCATCATCCATTTGACCTGTTTATGACTAGAAGTTTTAATCTTTTGACTCTTACTCCATTTTGCCTCACCACTGCTCCAGTCTGTTCTCTGCACCTCTGCATTTTGTTTTTACTTTAAAGTTTTCACATCTAAGTGAGATCATGTTGTATGTGTGTGTCTTTTAGCACAGTGCTCTCAAGGTCCAGACATGTTGTCAAAAATGACAAGATAAACTTTTGTATGACTGAAGAACTCTTGCATATATCTGTTCATCCACTGATGGACTCAGTTGTTTAAATATCTTGGCTATTGTAACTAATGCTACACTGAACATGAGGGTGCATCATTTATAGTTTTTTTAAAAAATTTTAAGATTATGTGGCTTTATACAGAAATTCAGTACCTCTTAGACTTAAGATGATCAGAAAAAGAAAAGTTAAAAAATCAGTCAGTTCTTTATTGGCATGTTTTAAGGCCATTATTTTGAGTTTTAAAGCAAAGAGAACAAAGCATGAGAAAAACCTTCTGCTGTAACTTATATTTATTTACCTGACAGTCTTAAGTTATCAGTTGCCTGGCTTTCATTACCAGATAATGGAATCAATCATTGTCCACAGTTGCTTCACCATGTAAGAGCATTCTTAAATAAGTTTACACAATTGATTTTTTTTAAAGCCAGGAATCTTCTGCCCTCTCAATGAAATTCAGATGCTTTTGTAATTCTTGAGTATAGTGATCTTATAATTCTTGAGTATAGTGATCTGTAAGTTGAACCGGTTGAACCATTAATTTTCTGATAGTACTGTTTTATTGTAGTCCAGGTTCTAGTTTTATCTAAATGACTAGTTCATGGAACATTCAGTTATAATTTTGGTGTATGGCTTTACACCTCCACATGTGTAATTTTTCTAGTCCTCCTCAAGCAAGCCACCTTTTCCTGTCTATGTTCTCCCTCAACGCCTTTTTCCTACCCCTGTCCCCTCTGGTAATGAGCAGTTTTTCACTAAATCAAAGACTTGTAGTTGCTGTTATTTACCACAGATAAAATTGTTTAGAATCAGGGATTAATAAAATCTGATTACACTTACTGTTTTTATTAGCAAAAGTTTCCTTACTGAGTGTGGCTCTATTGGCAGGTTGGAATAGGTGTGACGTGCAAACTGAGGCTAAAATATTATCATTCCCGGTAAAAGAAACCGCAGACTGATTCTTATTTTAGAGAACTACATTGGAAGATAAGAACACAGAGGTCACCAATGAGGAAGTGACAGTACTATATAGGGAGTGTAGTGAAAAATGGATTATAGAAGTCTCTGATATAAACATCACAGGATAGGGAAACAGGAATTTCTAGGATATGACACCCTAAGAATAATGTTAAAATCAACTGCATATTAGTAAAGTTTTTTATGTTACCATAATTGGTAACATTGTTTTTTCATTATAAAAACATAAAACAAGTGATAGACAAGGAAAATGGCAAAGTAAGCCAAAATCTTTTTATATCCATGTTTTCAATCAGAACATGAGATTGGCTAGTTTTCATTTTGCTCATTTGCTTTTCTTTTGAGCTATTTAACATATATGTATATTGTTTCCTCATTTTATTACATAGTCCTTAAAATTTTCAGTTATAATGAATAAATAAGTTTGGTCATGATTTACTTTTTTCTTGCACTCATGTTTTTTTCTAGTTTATTTGCTGTCATGAATATTCTGTATTTCTAAGATAATTTAGTTCTTAAGTTTTACTTTAAAAAATCCAGTTGTGAATGGAGGGCATAAAATTATGACTATGAAATATTTTTGTTACTTTGCCTCTGAACAGTATCATAAGCATGTTGATTGCCATTAAGAATTACTAGAAGTTTTTCAATACCACCTTTTTTGATACATATAAATAATGGAGAATTGTATTCTTGTGGTTTTAATGGACATTGTTTTATAAATATTTTCCAGTTGAAATTTCTCCTGTTATTTGCTAAACTTCTTTGCCCTTTACATACCTTACCCTGGGGGGTCTTATTTTCCCAGATTCATTGAGGACTAGTCTATGAACATTCTGTGATTTATTCTCTTTTGCTATATGTACTTTGTTCAGATATGATCACCTATTTTGAATTAAATTGTATATATCTTACACAGTTTAGTAATTTCAAAGTCCAGACTTAGTAAAATTCAGGGATTCTTAGGGTGTTGTTAAGCCACGGACTTGGAACATTTGTTTTTGTGCTCTTTGATGTTGTTGGGCAATAAACCTTCACTGTCAATTTATCATTGAGTTTGAACACAGCACTCTTATTCTCTCATGAAATATTTTCAACTTTGCCCTTGTGAAAAATGTGGTCATTTTACAAAGTTGACAACTCTCCTTTACCTTACAAGGGTATATAATTTTGACTTGCTAAGCATAAGCATAAGAAATAACTATTCATTACATTTCTCCTTTGTGTAATTAAGGGAAACTAACTTTCCATTCAATCCCTCCTGAGTTCTAAGTAAAATGCAAATCCCCTTTACTTAAGCAAGTTATTTTATACAAGTTGTAACTTTTTATCTTGTCATTGGCATAAAAACCAGCTGCTCATTCAACAAAACACTGTTACTAGAGTACATTCCCACAGCCATCGAAACATGCCCTGAGACAGAGGGATCAGTCACTACTAGAAAAATAAAAATGAGCAGTGCAACTTCTTAAAATCTCACTTATAGCAAAAACATGTGACCACAAAGAATTAATGCATGGATTAATGGCATGGGAATAAGCATCAGTGGTACATTTAAGGTGGAAATATGCTGTCAGTCATGCTTGTCTGTATGTCCAGTTCTATAGCTCTCTGGTTATTTAGTCTGTGATTCAAAGCCACAGGTGCATATGTATATTTGATGAATGGGTAACAACATATGTTGGATGTAGGAAGAATAAGTTTGGGACTTCAAAAGCGTTGAATAATAGGATAATGAAGACATGACAGTGACAGTCTTTTTCTACAAGGAAATCTTGTTTGAATTCATTTATTATAGCCAAGATACATAAATGACTGGAGCAGATAGGTATGTGTTGTCTAGAATGTTTCTTGAGATAGAAGATTTGAAACTGAGGAACCAAATGGGGAAATATGTACCATGGAATATTTTTGCCTTCATAAATGGAGAGGTGACTGACAACATATTTCCACCTTAAATGTACCACTGATGCTTATTCCCATGCCATTAATCCATGCATTAATTCTTTGTGATCACATGTTTTTGCTATAAGTGAGATTTTAAGAAGTTGCACTGCTCATTTTTATTTTTCTAGTAGTGACTGATCCCTCTGTCTCACGGCATGTTTCCATGGCTGTGGGAATGTACTCTAGTAACAGTGCTTTGTTGAATGAGCAGCTGGTTTTTATGCCAATGACAAGATAAAAGGTTACGACTTTGTGCACTGTTTTCAAAGGTTCCGACTTTTTACCTTTCAAAAACAGCTTTATGAATAATAGTTTATATGCTAAAATGTGCATCAGTTTCTTGGTGCATTTCTGCAATGTTTCCATCATTGCTGCAAGGTCCTTGTCACTGCCATTTTGGTCCAGCACAGTCTTTTATGTCCACTTATGCATCCCTCATTTTCACACCCCACTTCAGAGGAACATTTAATATGCTTTATGTCCCAGCAATTGATGAATAGCCTGGCTTAATAGGTAAAATTATATGAACTAATGATTAAACTTACTTGGTTTGGAAATATGCTAAATATAAAATTTTTGTCTGTTCATAGTATATTAGGGGTTTTAAATTAACTCATGGGAGATTGTGTAAATATAAAATTACATTAATGGGGATGAGATTCACTGCTGATATAGTGAGACTTTGGTCTTTTGCATAGACTAAAAGGTAAAGATACTAGGTACAGGAGTATTCTTGATGTCATTCTTGTATCTGAGGACACATTTTGGTTTTAGGGGAGAAGATGTAGTGGAATTAGTCATGGTATATATAATTTCTTTAAAAGGGCAGGCTTGTTTTTTAAAAGATTTAGTTATTTATGCATACAGTAACAGGGGTGCATGCCAGAGGTACAGGGGTCTGGAGGATTCACCAGAGAGAATGAGAAACAGAACAGGGAGATTTGACTATTTTGAAATACACTGCTGAGAGGAACAGTGATCAAGGGCAGGAGAGGCCTGCCATGCCATGTGGTTCACCTCCCTGGCTGGGGATCTAACTGGTGCTGCAGTGGCTGCGGATAGCTTGTTAGTGCTCTGCTTCAACTCATTGTGCCACCAGAGTATACCCGGTCATGGTAGGTGTTGAAGGAAAGTGGACAATATGAGGTTATGAGTAGATTACTCCAGGAAGAAGCTGCTCAGAGGATTCTTGTGTTGTATTGTGGAGAAAAATGTAGGGAGGTATGATGGGTAGTAACCATGAATTTACTTTATACATATATTTTAAGATTCACTTGTGTATTCAAGACTAAGGTATAAGCCAGAGGTATGGGTAAAAGGATTCATGAGAGACAGTAAAGAGCAGAAACAGCGAATTTCCTGAAATGTACTGCTCTGAAACAGTGGCCAATACAGGAAAGGTCAGCTGAGCCATGTGGGTCAGCTTCATGGGTGGGAATGGAACGCATGCTGCAATGGCTGTTGATAGCACTGAGACTTAAAAAATATTCATATCTGATACTCTCCAAGTTTTCCCTGTAATGTATTGCTCTTAAAGTTTGGTAACTGTAGAGAAATATTCTTTCACCTATACTGAGCTATTTTTCTTTCATTATGTTCTCTTTTAGCAACATAGTGCCATATGGAAAACCATTCTCAGAACACTTTTTGTTTTGATATATTTTCCATTCAAAATTACCATTTAATTGATTTTACTTTCATATCCTGCAATAATTGATTCAAAGTATTTTTAGCTACTTCACTTTGCTGTGTCAATTTATTTGAAGACTGAAGAACAATCTTAATGGAAATATTTGTTGCTAAAAATCACATCTCTTTATAAAACTAATGTGCACTTAGATTTATAAATACAAATTCTAATTTAAAAGTAATACAATTTGTGTTCCTTTTCTAATGGAGAGGTATAAAAAAAACCTTTATTGATTATAGCTTACCTATCATACTTACTAGGAGTAGTGGCAAAATAATGTTGTATTACCTGTTCCTTTGATTAGTAATAAAGTTGACATATATTCATATATGTCTCCATTTGACAAATGTACTTTGAAGCAGGCATATGGTAACAGTTGGTTCTCGGTGTTGGTAGATTAACATTTTAGTGTGAATTTGTGTATGTTGTAACTGAAAATATTTTAGTGATTCAATAAGGGAACAGACCTTTGAATTCAGCTAATAGGAGTTATTCACAACTTAATTCCTTAAGAAAAACAGATACCAAGCTATTAAAGTGGACGTGTCTTGGTATTAACTTGAATAGTGGGTGAAACATCTTAATATGTAAGATTAAAGAATTTAAAATTCTAGCAGTCTTAGTAGTGTTATTTGTGGGGGTTAAAGTAAGGGAATAGTGAAATTAAGGTTCATTTGGTGTGTACATGAGCAATGGGTTTTTAGGATGTCTGTTACTGTGCTTTCACTCAAAAGTTGTCTGCCTGTTTTACACATGGTAGATTGCAGTGCCACTAGATCATGCTTTCCTCTGCAGGCTCCATCAACTGTCTGAAGCTTCTGCCCCAGCTTGCATTGTTCTTCGTCATACCTTTATCTGTAGCCTTCCCTTAGGTTTTAAGGATCCTGAAATTTACTGCGGACATTGGATTTGGTGGAACAGCAATCATGGTAAGATATATATTTGGGCAGAGGGGTGAGAAGTTTTTGTAAGGTCCCAAAGTAGTGATTTACCAGAGTGTCAAATGAATAGGGAATTTTGGAGTCAGCTTTTAGAAATGGTATCTCATTGTGTAGATGACAGCTGTAGAAAAGCACTATCTGTTGCCCAGGTATAAAGGTAAAAATGGTTAGAAAATATTTTTAAAACAATCTTATAATGTGAGAAAATACACCGTAGTTTTTGGTCATGATTATAGTAGTAAGTGGTCCTTCCGCACATGGGGTACCCATAGATGAGGTTTCAGAAGATGGAGCCTGAAGGAGATTCAGCATCCTAAATGATGTTGTGGGCATGATAGTATAGCTACACTGTTAACACAAAGAAAGGCTTTAAATTGATTATGATAATTGGGAAGATCTTAGATTTTATGATCCTCTGATTTTGCAGAGGGCCACACATATAAATAGAAATAAAATAAAGTATACATTTGTTAGAATTATGATTGAGTGTATGATTAAGAATCTTTTCAAAAGGTGCCTTAGTTACACAAAAGTAAATTTTTGAATTTGGATCTATTTTTAACATAGGGGATATGAATTGTGATGAAATTAGACAAAAACTGTTGGGAAAATAAACTACATTTTTACTGAGTTTTTGGGAATTGCAAAGTTTTTAATAAAGAATGCTTTCCTATCATGTTTCCAGGGTAAAATGAGTCTAGGGATTCATGTGTTCTGTGGGAGGATTCTATTTGGGATCAGAGATGGGGAGTAGAGGGATTAGAATGATGAATACTAATAGGTGAAAAATATTTGGGATACATTGAGGAGGAAATAAAGTTGAGGTGATGTGCAATTAGAAGTAGGGGACTCCACAGAGGACTAAGTGGTTCAAGGTCACTTCAGGAAGTGAAAAAAATGTAGAAGATATTGCAGTGGTTAAATTTACTAAACAAAAATCCCAGTTTAGATTTGACATAGAAGGAAGGAATGGGAGCAGATTTGAGAGAAGTGACAAAAAAGCTGATAAACTGACTTTAATCTTACTCCTTGCCAGACGGTGGGAAAGAGCAGCAAGATGCTGCAGCACATTGATTACAGAATGAGATGTATCCTGCAAGATGGCCGAATCTTCATTGGCACTTTTAAGGCTTTTGACAAGCATATGAACTTGATCCTCTGTGACTGTGATGAGTTCAGGAAGATCAAGTAAGACCATCTTGCTTTTGGGTAATTACAAATGAAGAGCGAGGCTTTGGGAAAAACTAGAGTAAGGACAAGGAAAAGAAATTTAAGGAGGATGAGAAAGGATAGCAGGACTAGGCCTCATGTCTCATTTCTAAAATGGAACTGACTTCTCAGTCTTAAGGCACTGTGTCTTTAAGTTTGAAAATACATCAGTGAATGTACGAAGAGTAAAACTAAAACTAAACAGTATGACCAAAATCAAGTTATATTGTGTGTGTTTTAAAATTTGGGAAATTTTATTAATAGATTGATTTCTGCAATCATTGTGACCTAAAGAATCTTAGTTGAAATAGACAATACCGTTTACTATTCATGGTGTGACATTTTAGGTATGGTTAGAATACTTCAGAGCAGTTTTAAAATGTATTTACTCAGTGCCTTTGGTAGACACTAAATTCCTCATTTTCAATGTTGATTTGATGTTTACTTTATAAGCCTCTTGTGTCACTTATCTCTGGTGGCTTTACTCTGTATACCCTCTATGCCTAGAACTGTGTTTGGCCCTTTTTTTCTTTGAGATTGACTCGGTCCCTCCCTGATGCCCCAGGGGTTTAAGAGACAGCTGCAATGAAGCTGTGAGCAGCCTCTGCAGCACAAGTTGGATCCCCAGCCAGGGAGGAGGTTACCCACATGGCACAGGAGATCTCTTCTGTCTCACCCACTGCTCCCCTCGGCAGTCTATTTCAGTAGATCCTCTTGTCCTGCTCCCCACCCAAGATTAACTTAGTTAAAAATGGTTTTAAAATATATACTTCCCATCTTAACTGAAACTGAGGTTCCATTTTTGATGTCATTTGTGACTGCATTTCACAAAGTCAGTTTTGATGTAAAAAAAAATTTGAGAGTCAAGTTTGATAGGAAAAGAACTAAACAAGTCATTCACCTTTGCAAATAAACTGAGTCTATTCCCTGTTCCACAACACAGTAACTGAGCCTTTGGACATCTTGGCATCAAGTATTAATTGAGATTTTAGAATCTGTAAGTATCTTAGACAGTGTGCCCCTCATTTATCTTCTAAAAATTTACTTCTGATTTGTAGGCCAAAGAATGCAAAGCAGCCAGAACGTGAAGAAAAACGGGTTTTGGGTCTGGTGTTGCTGCGTGGGGAGAACTTGGTTTCCATGACTGTGGAAGGACCACCCCCCAAAGATGTAAGGAATGCGTAGTGCAGGACAGGACTCATTGCAGCAGGACATTACATTGTTTAAAGATGTGTGCTAGAGAAGGACACAACAGGTTCACAGTATAACAGACCTTTGTCAGCATGCACCATGTGCCACTTCAGTGTTTGTATGTCCGTATTCAGCCATTAAAGGTTTTGATCTACCTATGTAAGGATAGGAGGTACTGGGTTTTTTATTCACTTATTTTTCGGTAGGAATGTTCAGGAAAATATGTGTTATGTGACAAAAAATGCATTTAGTTTGCAGTATTTCTCCTTGATGCATTTGCCTTTTACTTCTCTAAATAAAGAACTAATATGATACTGTGAGAATCTGATGGTGAATGAATTGAGTTTTTTAATACATCAAGACTATTGATAGCTTCAGTAAATTGTTTGATTTTTAAGCATCATTTTTCTTTCTCAGACTGGCATTGCCCGAGTACCACTTGCTGGAGCCGCAGGAGGCCCTGGAGTTGGCAGGGCAGCTGGCAGAGGAGTACCAGCTGGTGTCCCAATTCCCCAAGCACCTGCTGGATTAGCAGGACCTGTCCGAGGGGTTGGAGGGCCATCCCAACAGGTGAACCTGGAGAACGCTTTCTATTATTGGGGGAAAGACTAGAGCTGAGAAGATAAGTGAACCTAAATGTACTTACACTATGGAAACATTATACAATGTAGAGGGGATTGAGGGACAAATACACATTTGAAAGAGAATACATTGAAGACACCTAAAAGTAAACACTTCAGGGTGGTAAGTAAAGAAAAATGTAGATTGTTAAACCAGTTGAGAAAATGCAAAAAAAAAAATTATTAGCTTGAAAAGGGCATATTCAGCATAAAAGAACCTGTGTGTTCCAGATTTTTTTAACATATAAATTTTGGGAGAATTGTGAAGTTATTTATTTTGCTTGAAAGGCTGTGATGTGTTTTTTTTCGTTTGATTTTGAAAGTTGAGTGTGCCTTACCTTGACTCTCCCTCCTACCATGCCTTCTTAGGTAATGACCCCACAGGGAAGAGGTACTGTAGCAGCTGCTGCAGTTGCTGCTACTGCCAGCATTGCTGGCGCCCCAACTCAGTACCCACCAGGACGGGGGACTCCACCCACACCTGTGGGCCGAGCAACCCCACCTCCAGGTAAAGAATTGATGAATAAGAGGGAGGAGAACTTGGTTCATAGGTATAGTTCTATGGAGAGGTTGTATCATCTTGAGATAATAATGAATATAAACATTAAGATAATACAAAATTACCCAGCATAATTCCTAATCAGTAGCTCGTAGTACTTTTACTGTTTTGGGTAATAGTTCATAATGAAAGAAAGTGGGCTGTAATTGAGCCCATTGCCCATGGTTCAAGGAAATATCAACGTTTAATTGTATTAATTATATTACAAATACTTTATTTTTGTCATTTTTATTTTGTAGGCATTATGGCTCCTCCACCTGGTATGAGACCACCTATGGGCCCTCCAATTGGGCTTCCCCCTACTCGAGGGACCCCAATAGGCATGCCTCCTCCAGGAATGAGACCCCCTCCACCAGGAATTAGAGGTAAGTGGGTACACAGATGGCTCAGTTGTACCAGACAGGCCCTTGAATATATGTTCTTTTTCTAATGGTTTTATGGAATTTTGCCTTTTCTTTTCCAGGTCCACCTCCCCCCGGAATGCGTCCACCAAGACCCTAGGATTCTATCAATCCTTCGTAGTCACTTTTTCCTGCAATGCGTCTTGTGAAACTGTGTAGAGTGTTTGTGAGCTTTTTGTCCCCTCCTTGCTACATAAAATTAGCTAATAAATGTTTAGAGCAATTCAACTTCAAGTTACTGTTGTATATTTTTTTGCCTATTGATTTTATTGAGGTCATAGTGAAGAGTGGGATTTTTTTGTTGCAGTTAATGTGGATATGGTGCGAGTCCTGCTAAGCCATTCATTTTCTCTTTAATTCTCACAATAACTTGGTGATAATTTTTTCAACTTCCTAACTTTAAATTTGGGCATTGACTGGTGTCAGTTAATATTTACATATAAGGAAATTTCTTATAACCACATGGTTAAATGATCAAAATAATACGTAGGATCTCCTCCAGTTTTCTATGATAGGTATACCTGAAAGGAAGTGGGTGGTATAAAAGACGTAGAAGACCACTTATAAAAGAAAAATGGTACTTAATGAGACTTGGTTCATTAGTTCATGTAATTTGGAATAGGAGGTACTCTGTTTCCTGGAAAGTTTACCTCATGAACAACTTTTAGAATTCCTTTTACCTTGTGCAATCATAGTAAATGGTATGATCCTGGAATAATCATCATTCCATACCAGTAAGTATTATTTTAGTTTTTAAGTGAATGGTAACATAGGCTGTATGCTAGGAACCATAAGGGTTTATATTTTAGAAACTAGATAATAGTTGCATTCAGACAAGCTGTGCTTAAAATATAAATAACTGAAACCATTTAATATCTTATATAATACTAATAAAAATAAAAATGTTTACGTCCAACTATATCACTTTGGTGACCTACTGGTGATCCTATTAGAAATA